ACCACCGAATAAAGTTGCGCCTCTCCCAGTTTTGTGAACTTCCATGGGTGGTTGAGATGGGGCAGTATGGGGTGGTGGGACTTCTGGGGTACCATTGGGAGAGCTCATTAGAATCACTGTGCTTAATGAGCTTCAGACTTAACAAGGCCCCACCTGTGGGGAGGGTGGGTAGACTGTGTTCAATCACTCCCATTTCCCATAACTTGCCCAGAAGAGACAATATTACACAATCCTTACCCTCCCCCAGCTCCAAACCCTGACCCACAGAAGAAGCTGGATCCAGACCAATGGCCACAGCCCCATTCCCACAGCTCACACTCCTGCCGTTGAACCCTCCCAACCCCGGCCTGTAGGTGACCCCAGTCCCACAGCTCTGCACCATATCTCTGCCCCCATGACTGCCTGATAGTGCTCCCTCTCGGCTGCCTAATTACTACCTCACAACCACACCCCACAGCTCCGTCCTGGGACCCTCCCAGAGGGCTGCTGGGAGCTGACTGCCACACTGCTTCCTAGGGGGGAGAGCCCCTATGCCTGGAGTGCTCAGCTGAGTACAGCCCCAAACATAGGGAAGCCCCTCGTCCTGCTTCCACAGAATGGCCAGGGTTGGAAGGGACCTCAAGGATCATGAATCTCCACATGCAAGGCCTCCAATCTCCACATTTAACACCAGCCCAGGCTGCCAGGGCCCCATCCAACCTGGCCTTGAACACCCCCAAGGACGGGACATCCACAACCTCTCTGGGCAGCTGTTCCAGCACCTCACCACTCTCATAGCAAAGAACTTCCCCCTGACATCCAACCTCAATCTTCCCTCCCTTAACTTCAAACCATTTCCCCTTGTCCTGCAGTTATCAATGATTTCAAAGAGTTGATTCCCCTCCTGTTTTAAGCTCCCTTTAGGTACTGCAGGCTGCAATGAGGTCACCCCACAGCCTTCTTTTCTCCAGGCTGGACAAGCCCAGCTCCCTCAGCCTGTCTTTGTAGGGGAGGTGCTCCAGTCCCCTGATCATCTTTGTGGCTCTTCTGGACCCTCTCCAACAGCTCTCTGTCCTTGTTGTACTTGGGGCTCCAATACGAAGGACACAGTACTGCAGATAGGGCCTCACGGGGGCAGAGTAGAGAGAAACCCCCTCCCTGTCCCTGCTGGCCACCCCGGCCCCCAGAGCCGCCGGGACTCTCCACCCAGAGCACTCTCCACTCAGACCCCCAGGTCCTTCACGCACCATCACCTGAACGGACCCCATCAGGCATTTCCTCCGCCTTTTATTTCCGCGCGGGCCCAGAATTACGGATGCACCCCCACAAACGCGGCGAAATACCTCACAACACGCGACAACTCCGACGTTAGGGCTGTGACGTCATCGGCGCCGTTACGATCTGCCACCCCCTCACATCCGCACTGACTTCACCCCGCAGCGACACGCTTCCGGCTGCCCCCGGAAGAGCTCATCCCGTACCCTTGCGCTATTTCCGCTCACGTGCTCAGCGCCGCTGTGCGTCGCGTCACGTGCGCATCACGTGCCGCCGTCCCGGGCCGCTGAGGTCGGCGGCGCCGTCACGTGACCCGTGCCTACGCGCGGCGGGGCCGAGCGCAGATGGCGGACGCTGAGGCCGAGGCGGCTCCGCGGGCCGAGATGGCGCGGTTGGTGGCGGCGCTGCGGGGCCGGCTGTGGCAGCTGCAGACGGAACTGTGCGAGCAGGAAGTGTCGGAGGCGTCGTCCCGGGCCTACTGCCGCGGCTTCTGCCAGGTACGGGCCGCGGCGAGGGGCCTCCTCAGCGCGGTGAGGTCGTTGCGAGACTTCAGTGCGGCGGGAGTTGGCGGAGTGCGGCGGGGGGGGAGCTGTCGCGGCGTCGCGGTGCGGGGCCGCCGGTGCGGTGAGGCGGAGCGTTGCGCCTTTGGGCCGCGCGGGGCATCGGGGGGTTGGGGGGGGGGGGGCCGGGACGGGACGGGACGTTCTGCGTTCATCGCGGTTGGGAACGGCGCCGTGTGGGAGTCCGGCCGGCCGGCTGCCCGTTGTGCTGCGTCCGGGTCAGTGCTCGGAGTGAGCGGTGGTTTAATGCCGGTGATGAACGATTTTTGAATTAAATCATTAAGTTCTTAAGCTTGTTTAAGTGTTATGGGTGAACGTGACATATTTGTGATATAGTAATCTGTGCGGTTAATGTGCTTCCTGAACGGCATCTGTTAGTGAGAGCTGTGCGGTTACATCATCTGTTGTTGTTGGGTTTGGGTGCTTTTCCTCTTCAATCCGAAAGCGTTCTGTGCTTAAAACCCAACCTGCCAGCTGGTGCTCTCACCCGGCCTTCCTTTCCGAATGGAAGGGCAACACCAGCTGCTGACTGTGGCCAACAGCCTCACGGGTGTCTGAAATGTGGTGTTAGTCCTCACAGGGTTGATTTACACCTGTAGGCTGTGTGCTTGGCCATGCTGTTCTTTTGGGGAAATCAGAGAATCAATAAGGTTGGAAAAGACCTCAGATTATTTAGTCCAACCATCCACCCCCCAACAGTATTGCTGATGGACCGTGGCCCTCAGTGGCACCTCCCCATGGTTCTGGAGCACCTGGAATGGGGATGGAGTGGGGATGGTGACTCCACCACTCCCTATGCAGCCTCTGCCACTGCATCACTGCTGATTCTGAGATGATCTTCCTAATACACAACCTGACCATCCCCTGGTGCAACTTGAGGGCATCACCTCTCATCCTATCACAAAAGCAGAGGCCGACTCCCACCTCCCCACGACCTCTTTTCAGGCAGTTGTAGAGAACAGTGAGGTCTTTCCTGAGCTCCTCTTCTCCAGGTGGACCCATCCCATTCCCTCAGCCGCTCCCCAGCACTGTGCTTAAGATCCCTCACAGCTCTGTTCCCTTCTCTGCACACACTCCAGACCTTCCATGTCTTTCTCACAGTGAGAGGCTCAAGGCTGAGCACAGCACTGATGTGCAGCTCCAGCAGTGCCAGCACAGAGGGATGGTTACCTCCTGCAGGCTGCATTGCTGCTGACATAGCCAGGATGCCGTGGGGTTTCTTGGCCACCTGGGCACCCTGCTGGCTCGCATCCAGCCAAGTGTCACCATCAGCCCCAGGTCCTTCTCTTCACAGCTCTTGGCTGCTGTGCCCCAAGCCCACAGCATTACATGAGGCTGTTGTGACCAAAGTGCAGCACTCAACACTCACTGAAGCTCATCCCATCTGCCTCAGCCCAGCAACCAGCCTGCCTAGCTCCCTCCATTGCACCTTCCTACCCTCAGGCAGGTCGATGCTTCCCCCAACTTGATGCTGTCTGTGAACTTGGTGAGGGTGCTCAGTGCTGGAAAGGTTTGTTAGGTTCTGGTATTCATGCTTGGCAAACTTCAGAGCGCAGCTCACACACACTGCAGTTATCTCCCAAGTTACATGTGCACTGAGATGACCATATGTTTACATGGAAATCTCTGTAAAATGTGTTACTTCTACCTTGTTTTAGGCTTTACAAAAATGACCTGCAGTGCTGTTTATTGCAGCCAAGCGTTGGAACAAGGATTTGGCAGATGTTTGGCAGATACTGTCAAGATGACCAACGCTTGTATTCATTTGGTTGCCCAGAATAAACTTATCCAGTGCTGTCATCAGTTTTGGACAGTTCTGATTGCATGATTGTTCTCTTAGAGATCCAGGCATGCAGTTGTTGGGCTGACATCCAGCCACTTCAGTGGGGTGTGAGTTTGTGATGTTGTGCTGTCAAACTATGCTATGGGAGCGTATGATTTTACATCGCTGTTTCCCCTTCCAACTGGGGGTGTTTGTAGGTGTGGCACAGAGCTCTAGTGATAAAACTTCTCAAGGACTGAATGTCTGCTCCTAAGTTAAACTTAATAGAAAGTTGAATTGAGGTACTTAACATCTTGGAGGCCACCACTGATATCTTGTCATCTGCTCATTGAACTGCAGCAGGTCTTGCCTAGAGAGAAACTCACTTCAGTTGTGTTTAAGTAGGATCTGGAGGTGTAGTTGTGGTGGGGGCCATTAAAATACTTTGGGATTTGCCATCCTGTGGGTACATCTGGCACTGTGGGAGCAACGGATGCCGTCAGGGCACAACAGATGGTGAACCAAATAGTATCCAGACTGCTCTGTGCACAGAGAAGCAGCGTTGGCAACACAGAAACTTGTGCTGCTTTCCTGCAGCTCCTTCTGGGAGCAGTGTCTAATGATGCTGCCTTGGTCACCTACCTCTTGGGCAGGAGAGGAAGATGAATGTTCAGGATGACACAGCTAAGTGTCTCGGCACTAAATAGTGGGTTGGCTCTGCACTGTTGTGATGCACTGCACGTTCACATTATGAGGAACAAGTCTGTTGGGGTAAGTCTGTATACACAGACACCAACTGGTAGGGTCAGGTTGTGCGTACATGAGGTTGCTGTGTTGTAAATATGAAGCAGTGTCAATGAGGCAGAGCGTGCAGCACCTCAAAGAACCTCATCTGCTGATCCTCAGCACCAGTTGGGTGGGTGACACTGTTGGAGGACTTGCAGCTGTGATCAGGTCTGTTAAAGAGGAGATGTCTTTGTGTATTTATGTTAAACTCAAAGCTGGTGTAAGAACAGCTTTGTGAGAAGTGCACCTATGCCCTGCAGTGCTGCAATACCTGCTTGGGAATCAGTGCAGAACTGAGGAGCTGCGTCAGTCTGTGGGTTGTGCTGTAGGTGGATGCTTGTGGCCTCTGTTGTCTGCATCCCACTCTGGTTACATCTATGGCTGTAGTCAAAGGAAAGAGGATGTAGTGATGATTTCAGTGTCTAGCTGCTCCAGGAGAAGTTCCAGCTCATTGGCTGCTCAAAGAATTGCTGACTGTAGATGACCTCAGTGGTAAGATAGCACTAAGGGGAAGGGTGTAGTGTTTTCTA